CACCACACCACACCACACAACACCACACCACACCACACCACACAACACCACACCACACCACACCACACAACACCACACCACACCACACCACACAACATCACACCACACCACACCACCACACCAAACCAAACCACACCACACTCATTCACCCCGATAGGTGTTTCAACGTAACAAGTATCTACACCTCGTTAACAATCTACGAGAGTTGGCAGCTCCCGTAAATTCTACTGGCCACCGTGGACACAGCGATTGTGGCAAAACGATTCAATAATGGAGAAGCCAGCAACACCCACGGTCAGCCAGCGATCTACCCCGCGACTCGCGAGAGCTGGCAGCAAAATTGATCAGTGTCCAAGGTTCGCTGGGGTGACCGAAGACTTCTCGGCCGTCTGAGCGAAGCCGCAGAGAGCATAGACCCTACCCAATCCCCTTGTGCACTGATCGGCGAAAGCTTAAAGGCTTAGTGCTCTCTCGTTACCAGCGACAACACTATGTCGTAATGTATGCAGCTCTGACGAAGAAAGGGTCCGTCGCTTCCTTCCTTCAAATACTTTTTTCTGAACCTCGTAAAGAGCATTTATTCTTATAATATATACACGGTTTATATATGTGCAGGTCGTTAATCTGTTCAGCGTGGCGGCGCAGATTAAATAAGCCTGTGGTGTTGGGAGCTGAGTTTTAGAGTAAGCTTCGACTTAAGTGGTTATTTTTCTGTGTTCGTCTACTTCTTCTTACAACAGGCCATAGAGAGAGACACACACACACCTCCCACCAGACGGACGATTTTATAAACGGAGCATCATGTCGGCGGTACCTCGGGCGCGGACTTCTTACGACTACTATGGAGAGTAAGTTTATCACATTTTGTTGTACATAATATACATTAGTGCTTATTACGACATCATCATCATCATCATCATCGTCATCACCATCATCATCATCATCATCATCATCATCATCATCATCATCATTATCATCATCATCATCATTATCATTATCGTAATTAACATTATTTTTATTTTAATCATTAGCATTACAATTGCCATTACTGCCATGTTTTTATAGTTCTTATTATTGTATGTGTGGTCTCCATTTTAAGATTCTCTCTCTCTCTCTCTCTCTCTCTCTCTCTCTCTCTCTCTCTCTCTCTCT